TTGCTGCATCCCAAAGATTTTGAACAGTTGTGTTTTCATTTTCATTGGTTTCCATGAGTTTTTTTAATTCTTCTTTAATTTTCTGTTTGACCCATTCATTCTTTAGTAGGATGCTCTTTAGCCTCCATGTATTTGAGTTCTTTCCGACTTTCCTCTTGTGATTGAGTTCTAGTTTCAAAGCATTGTGGTCTGAAAATATGCAGGGAATGATCCCAGTCTTTTGGTACCGGTTGAGACCTGATTTATGACCTAGGATGTGATCTACTCTGGAGAATATTCCATGGGCACTAGAGAAGAATATGTATTCTGTTGCTTTGGGATGGAATGTTCTGAATATGTCTGTGAAGTCCATTTGGTCCAGTGTGTCCTTTAAAGTCTTTATTTCCTTGTTGATCTTTTGCTTAGATGATCTGTCCATTTCAGTGAGGGGAGTGTTAAAGTCCCCCACTCTTATTGTATTGTTGTCAATATGTTTCTTTGCTTTTGTTATTATTTGGCTTATATAATTGGTTGCTCCCATGTTAGGGAGATATTTACAATTGTTAGATCTTCTTGGTGGATAGACCCTTTAAGTAGGATATAGTGTCCTTCCTCATCTCTTATTATAGTCTTTGGTTTAAAATCTAATTTGTTTGATATAAGGATTGCCATCCCAGCTTTCTTTTGGTGTCCATTAACATGGTAAATGGTTTTCCACCCCTTCACTTTCAATCTGGGGGTGTCTTTGGGTCTAAAATGAGTCTCTTGCAGACAGCATATCAATGGGTCTTGTTTTTTTATCCAATCTGATAGCGTGTGCCTTTTGATTGGGGCATTTATCTCATTTACATTCAGGGTAACTGTTGAATGATATGAATTTAGTGCCATTGTATTGCCTGGAAGGTGACTGTTACTCTATATTGTCTCTATTCCTTTCTGGTCTATGTTAATTTTGGGCTCTCTCTTTGCTTAGAGGACCCCTTCAATACTTCTTATATGGCTGGTTTCGTGTTTGCAAATTCCTTTAGTTTGTTTTTGTCCTGGAAGCTTTTTATCTCTCCTTCTATTTTCAATTACAGCCTAGCTGGATATATATTCTTGGCTGCATATTTTCTCATTTAGTGCTCTGAATATATCCTGCCAGTCCTTTCTGGCCTGCCAGGTCTCTGTGGATAGGTCTGTTGAGAATCTAATGTTTCTACCACTGTAGGTTACATACCTCTTGTCCCAAGCTGCTTTCAGGATTTTCTCTTTGTCTCTGATTCTTGTAAGTTTTACTATTAGATGTCGGGGTGTTGACCCATTTTTTTAGATTTTTAGGGGCGTTCTCTGTGCCTCCTGGATTTTGATGCCTGTTTCCTTCCCAAATTAGGGAAGTTCTCTGCTATAATTTGCTCCAATATAACTTCTGCCCCTCTCTCTCTTTCTTCTTCTTCTGGAATCCCAATTATTCTAATATTGTTTCATCTTATGGTATCACTTCTGCCCTCATGATCCAGTAGTTGTTTATCTCTCTTTTTCTCAGCTTCTTTATTTTCCATCTTTTGGTCTTCTATATCACTGATTCTCCCCTGCCTCATTTATCCTAGCAATTAGAGCCTCCTTTTTTGATTGTACCTCATTAATAGCCTTTTTGATTTTGACTTGGGTAGATTTTAGTTCTTTTATTTCTCCAGAAAGGGTTTCTCTAGTATCTTCCATGCCTTTTTCAAGCCCAGCTAGTATCTTTATAATTGTCATTCTGAACTCCAGTTCTGACATCTTACTAATGTCTGTATTGATTAGCTCCCTGCAGTCGGTACTACCCCTTGTTCTTTCTTTTGAGGTGATGTTTTCCATCTTGTCATTTTGTCCCGAGGAGAAGAGATGAATGAGAGAACAAAATGCTAATAGGGTAACAACGACCCCAGAAAAATATACACTAAACAAATCAGAAGAGCCCTGAAATGAGGAGAAAAGAAAGGGAAAGAAAGAAAAAAGAAGAAAAAAGAAAAAGATTTTTAAAAAAAATGTGATCAAATATGATCAGACTCGTGTATAGATCAGTGCCACACACTAGTTTTAGGGCGTATTTGGGTCTGTTAGAAGAAAGTGCCTCCCAAAATTTTAAAGAAAGAAAAACTTATATATGTACAAAAATAAGGGTAAATATGATGAAGGGATGGAATATGACTGTAAAGATGAAAATTATAAAAGATTTTATAAAAGGAATTGATAAGATGAGAACTTGGTTGAAAAAAGAAAGAAGAGAAATTAAAAAAAAATAAGGAGAGAATGTGATCAAGCAAAATACTAGAACAAAGCCATACACTAGATATTTAGGGTATATTTTGGTCTGTTAGAAGCAACTGTATCTCAAAATTTTAAAGAGAACAACATATATATATATATATATATATATATATATACCAAAAATAAGATTAACTACTATGAATGGAGAGAATATGACTCTAAAAATGAAAGATAAAAAAGATTTTTTAAAAAGGGATTGATAAGATGTTGGTTGAAAAAGGGAAAAAGAAAAATTTAAATAAAATAGAAAAAGAAAATTTAAAAAATTAACTTTGAAAGACTAAAGAATCATAGGAAAAAAAGCCATGAATTCTATGTGCTGTAATCCCCTAGTGCCAGAGTTCTGTTCTCATTGATCAGTAAACTTGGTCTTGCCGGGCTATTCTTTCTGATCTTCTGGGGGAGCAGCCTGTTGCAGTGGTTTTCAAATGTTTTTGCTGGAGGCGGAATTGCCCCGCCCTTGCCGGGGTCTGGGCTACATAATCTGCTTTCGGTACAGCTCTGGAGGACGAGAGTGAAAATGGCGGTCTCCCAATCTCTGCCCTCAGGAGCCAAGAACTCGGGGCCCCACTCCTCAGTGAGCCCCCAGAGAAAAGCAGTCAATCACTCCTGTGTTCCCAGTCTTTGGCCACACTCCGTGCTCAGCCTGTGACCGAGCATTTCTATCTCTGGCACATGCCCCTGTCTGGAGTCTCCAAACCCAGCAGATTCCTGCGGTGTGCTCCTGCACTGCTTCACCCGGGGGGAAGGGGACTCTCCCCAGGTCTGCCGCTTGTTGGGTCCCTGCTCGAAGAGCAGTGGCCTGACTGTGCTGTGGATCATGTTTTATAGCAACCCTGAGCTGAGAGCCCACTCCTCAGCTCCATCTCTGCAGCCAGCTTCCCTGCTCCGATATCTGGGAGATCTGCCACACTCAGGCTCCCCTGGTCTTTCTGTGACCCCGAGGGTCCTGACACGACACTGTCCTGGCGAGGGTTCCACCCCCCGCTTAGCCACTGGAGAGACGTCCCTCAGCAGAGCCGACTTCTAAAAGTTCCGATTTTGTGCTCTTCTTCTCTATCACTTGCCAGTAACCGGCTGATGGAGGCCCCCTCCCCCGCCATCTATCTTCCCTAATATTGCCTCAGATTCAATTCTCCGCACGTCCTACCTTCCAGAAAGTGGTCGCTTTTATGTTCAGAGAGTTGTTGCTATTCTTTTCTTCAATCTCCTATTGAGTTCGTAGGTGTTCAGAATGGTTTGATCCCTATCTAGCTGAATTCCTGGGTCCAGACGAAATTTAGGTCTCCTACTCCCCTGCCATCTTGCTCCTCCTCCCACATTATATAACTTTTAAGGACACCATGTTTTCCAAATGTCTGAAGATAGTTTCTCTCCTAGACATAAAGTATAAAAGCAAATTTTCTATTCCTAGTTTGGCTTGCCTCTAAGTTTGCCTTCCTTCTTATGTTGTAAAGAAGTTTTGATATATATTGAAAAGAGTATGATGTTTTTAAACTGGTATCTTTACTGACAACAATATGTAAATATAAATTCATAAGCAATAGTCAGCAACCTAGAATCTAATCCAATTGTAACAAGGTCCAATGCTTTCAATAACTCAGTTCTGGGTGATTGGCAAGCTTGAATAAATATTTTCAAATAACATGAAGGATGTTGACTAAACATATTTAACCTGTATTCTTCTTTCTTAAAAAGCACATTATCATATTACCATTGAATAAATTATTCTTTTCAGAACTAGGGAAATCCAATTTTAGGATTTTAAGTTCAATAGGGCCACTGGTTCTTACCAAACACCTGTTACTTCCTCTTTCCTAAAAGTCAGTCCAAACTCTAGTGGCATATCAAATAAAACCACAACAGCCACTTTTATTTCATTTCCGGTTACTTGAGAAAGTTGATGCATTGGTGAAAAATTGGGTTATATTTCAGGAGCATAGAAGGGAGAAAAAGACAAAAGTACTAATTAACTTTGAAATCCATATATTTCTGGGATGATGAATACACAGGATAATACGGTAATCCCAAATGTCAAGATCATTTTCACCGAACTTCTAAAAAATTTTAATAATGCTTTAATTTTTCACCTTCATATAAGACTCAAGGTCCACTTTTAACAAAGGTCTCAAAAAAGCCCAAATGCAAACTCAGGTATCATGTTTTTATATTTAAAAAGTGCAGTGTGAGCAGCCCAGGTATCAGGTATCAGGTCTCATTTTCATACCCTTGCTGCGCTAGTGACACTGTAGAGAAACCACCATAAATCATCTCTTGGCTGTATACAATTAATTTTATGTTCTGTACTTGTCTTCCTCTATGTTTTTATGCTGTTTCTATTTATATTTGATTTTTGAGGTCACTCTGGGTTTGAAGTAAAATACTCAAGCTTCATATTAAAATATCACTGGGTGTTATTATAGTGTAAGTTTTAATAACCAAATTCAGGGTCACCTTTTCCCACAAGTTTTAACATTAACTGTCAAAAAGTGTCAAAAGAAAAATAACCTGTAACTCCCTAACCTTTTTAAATAAAAGAAGATATTAAGTGCATTTATTGCATCATCTCTTGAAGGGTAAAACATTTCTACTATCATTGCATATTTTCGCAGTGATCCCTTTATCTTATTTATTATTACCTTGGAGGTGGTTTCAGACGTCATCAGAATTTTTTACTACTTAGCTGATTTACAGTAAAAGAGGAAAAAACCTTTTTTAATAATTTTCAGAATAGCTATTCTTCCAGACGGAAGTCTACGGATCCTAAATGCTTCTAAATCAGATGAGGGAAAGTACGTTTGCCAAGGGGAAAATGTCTTTGGTTCTGCTGAAATCATAGCCTCAGTATCTGTAAAAGGTAAGAAAATGTGGCTAACCGTGTTATAAGCATAGTTTCACGGCTTTGTCCGAAAGCGAATAAATATAATATGCATGTAAAATGTGTTTACACGTATGTGTGTGCATGCTCCTATTGATAAGATACATTGCAAACATAGAACTAACACAGCCAAATTGTCCTTTTCCATTATTTAGAAGACCATGAAGGAAAGAACACCTTGTTGGTAAAAACTTAAATATTTTGCTTTGAACAAAATATGTGAGGAGATAAAGAAAGCTTTCTGAAGTTTTACTGGATGTCTCAAAATTTAAAAGTATTCCAACAGTATAAAACTGTATCTCCTCTATCAAGGTTAATTTTAACATCAATCAGTAATATTCCTTTGTTATCACTGCAACTGGGGATCTGGGGCAGAAAGGAGTAGCAGAAGGAGGACATGAATATGTGGTGTCAGAGTGTGTATCAGATATATGGTTACCTGACCTGCTCTTTGGTGTTTGCATCAATGGAATTTTTTAAACACTCTCATTTTTTAGTGTTATAAATATTGGCACTTAAATGTTTCTGTTAGTCTTCTAGTTCTAACATGAACTAGATTTTGGCCTAGAACATTTTTTGAGACTCAATATCATTTTTTCGTACCAAGAAAATCTCATATGTTAGACAGAAAATCCCATCAATTGGCAAAGAAATATTTTTCACAACTGAACTCTATCTTCAATCAACTTTTTCCACATGGGCATGTATTATATAGTGAATCATACCTGGCTATAAAAACATAGAAATGTTAACTTTTCTTTTTCTTAGGAAATAAAATGTCTTTAAAATAGCCAGCTCTCTGATATTTTAGAATATTTTTAGAAAAGAAGCAAACATTAACAGAAGGAAGGAAGATAATTTAAATGATAACTTCTTTTATAGTATACATTATGGGAATCCAACTCTATCTTCTAGTCTGTGCCTTATTGTGCTAAACAATCTTTGTTACAATGAAGCAATGCTGGACTCACAGACATTTTTTAAATAATAACAAAACATTTTTCTGTTAATCACAAGTTAAATGGGATATTTAGTTACTCAGAACATTCCATTTCTTACAAAGTTAAACTACAATATGCTGTGATTATCTGATGAAGCCAGAGTTTAGAAAGCCACAAGGAATATCTGACTTCTAGAATGTTAGTATTTACATTCCTTTTCTGGTATTGCACTTTCCTCTCTGACTGCTTAGAAAGATGTTGCATATTAAAGGATCTTATCAATGGTTAAGAATGGTTCTTTTTTCAGCCTATGCTATTGCCAAAAACAGAGATAGAATAGGAAAATTAACCTAATTTTTAATCATTTGTGTCAGTTTTCTTGAGATATCTACAATCAGGAATCTAATTAGGAAGAAAAACTAAATCAAAATCTATCTCCATCACCTCCCTACTTTATTAAAAAAATCAAATTTCAATTATTGGATCACTAGCTTAAGTAACAGCAGTATTAACCTTTATTGGCTCTAAACACAATAACAGTGTATCTATTTTTAAAAAAATTTAATTGAATCATTAAGTAATTAAACACACATATTTTTTCCTCAAAAAATTTTTCCCTTCAAAAATTGGCCTTTTGTTCTGTATCTCAACTAAGTGATCCACAATTATCAAGAGCAATTATTTTATAATCAGCTAGTGGTGCTTTTTCTATTCATAAAAGGGTTTTGTAGACTATAAAGCAAGTGTAAGTTAGTATAGTAACAATATTATATTTTTATCTCTGTGAAAATAGTAATTTGAGGAGAGGTGCTTCCTATAACCTTTAAAGAAGTGAACTTACCTGCACTATTCTTCCTTAGATATGTTAATATTTTTTATTGTAAAAATCTTTTTACTTACACTTAATGATCCTTGAAGGTAGACAGGGAGGCTACAGCTTTTTTTTCTAATTTTCCCTCTTCAGGAATGCCAAATGCTGCTTATCATTATGTATTTTCTTGTCTTTTTTGTCCAAGTTTGCTTCTTAATAGGAATAGTAACTTTTAAATCATCAGTCCCCTACACAAGTATAGTAAAATGCCCTAGCATACAAAAAAGGTAATATTTCAATTAATAATAGTTTACTTAAAGATGTATCTAGAGCAACTGCATTGAATAGATTCTCTAAGTTTTTCTATTACTTAAAATAGAAAATACAGGGAAATACTGTGTGTTGATTATGTTAATTAATGTATTTTTATTTCTATAGAACCTACAAGAATAGAACTTACTCCTAAAAGAACAGAATTAACAGTGGGAGAAAGCATTGTCCTTAATTGCAAAGCAATTCACGATGCTAGTTTGGATGTCACTTTCTACTGGACACTAAAAGGACAGCCTATTGATTTCGAGAAAGAAGGTGGACATTTTGAAAGCATCAGGGCCGTAAGTTAATACACTTTTATTTGTTGAGTACTAATAATTTTTAAAACTTACACTCAAATGTAAAACTTTCTTATCTATGAAATGCTAAGGAAAAATAGGAAAAAAAATCAATTTGATTCAATTACTTTCATTATTATATGTTACGTCAAATTGAAAATATTTTTTTAAAACCCAGTAAGAAATTGGAAATACTTCATTATGCAAATCTGGTTTCTTTCCACTTTTATTTACTTGATTAATATCATCAATATTTGCACATTACTTCTTAGAAGTTATATTGCTACATACTAGTGTTATTTAAAGCAGTCTTACCAGTAATTATGATTCAATAAATAAATGAAATAATCCTTCCTGTCCTACTCCTCAAGAAATAGTAATTTTGGAGATTCTTTAATTCCTCACAGGAATTAAACATGAGTGTAGATAAAGCTTAAACATGCAACCAATAGTCAAAAATCCACACCAGCCTTAGATAAACATTCACAGGTATATTCGTTTCAAGTCCTTTTTTTGTAATATCTATGTGGCAATCAATTAAATGAAGTGGGAATCTTTTGAACCAAATCCTATAGTATAGAACACCACAGTGTTCTCAATAAAGAAGTGAAAAAAGACCTCCTTCCCGCACACTCTTGTATAACATAAAAGAGTGACATACTGACAAAGGGAGAGAGAGAAGGAGGATGGAACTAGGGTAATCGAGAGATATTTTGGCTGAAATATCCTTTTATATTGGCTAAAGAGATGAATCCAAATGTAATTTATGCCTGCAAATCCAATTTAAAATGCTTCTCTATACTTATTAATATCCATTTATTCTTCTCTAGACGCTTTGGGAAGCACTAGAAAACCACAGCTGTAGTAAGACCAAATATATATAAAGCTCAATTTAGATTGAATTTCATTTTACAGGTAATATAATACAGTGAAAAAGTCCTACACCCAAAGTCAGGAATTTTCTGGGTCAAGTCCCAGCTCAATCCCTAATCAGCTTTGTAACAAAAAGCCAGTCACGTCGCTTTCCTGGGCATTAAAACTCATAGAGAAGTGAAGTGAATGAGTTGTGCCAGAAAATTTCTAAGGTCCCTTCTCACTCTAGAATTTGATAAATTTATATTAGTAGAAGAATGAAAATGAGCTATCTTTGTTGCATTTGCCAGTTTAACTAAAATTAAACATTTTTGGGGCGCCTGGGTGGCTCAGTTGGTTGGGCAACTGCCTTCGGCTCAGATCATGATCCTGGAGTCCTGGGATCGAGTCCCGCATCGGGCTCCCTGCTCGGCAGGGAGTCTGCTTCTCCCTCTGATCCTCCCCCTCTCATGCTCTCTGTCTCCCATTCTCTCTCTCAGATAAATAAATAAATAATCTTTAAAAAAATAAATAAAATTAAAAAAATTAAACATTTTCTTCTACATTTATCTTTTCATCTTGATTTACTTTGAAAATAATGGGAGAGACTATATATAAGAAATAATTACCAACTGCATTATTTAGATCTAACCAAATAAATTAATTTTAATTATTAATGGTTATGTTATATGTAAAATAATTAGATCATGTTAAATTAAACTCATTTTCCTCTAATTTGTGACTTTCCTTTTTCCTTTACATGGGGTTAACAATTCCTTCAAGATTGTGAACAAATAAAACAGAACCAGAAAAATGTGATACAAAAATATCACATTTGAAAACAAAAAAATATACCATCAAAAATATATCCGTAAGCATTCTTTTTGGGTGATCAGCTGTATAAATTAAAAATATGTCTAAAATGAATATTGCTTTTTTTTTCATGTAAACAGTTCCCTTCTTTATTTTAAAATACCAACAAAGAAATTAATCGTCCTGGTAAAATTATCTGAATTCTTGTTTCTGTCTCTTAAACATTACCGCTCTGGTTTGATATCATTCCTTTGTAGCAATAAATATTTTATCTTTTTCATAAGGTTGGGGGTTAATAATACCTGTTGTTTCCCTCTTTATATATATGCTATTCTTGCCCTGAAGTAGTATAAAATTGACTCCTTACTCCATGCAAACTTGTATGGTTACAAGCCATGTTAAAATTAGGCTCTGTATTATAGAAGTGATACGAAACTATCGAATAGAAGAAAAAAGTAAAGCAAATTACATACTGAGAAGTGAAAAAATATTTAGCTTTAAGGTAATTGAGCATTCATCCCTTTTAGTGTATGTAGAATAATTAATAGAAATACATATGTACTTAAAAATATTTGGAAGCTTCAAAACTGCAAGGTGTAAAAGAAATCATCTTCCCTTTTCTCTCAATTACCTCAAACATTGATTGGGCCTTGTCTGTCTTCAAGGATATACACTGAAAAAAATTCCATTTTATGACGTTGAGAATGCAGACAGAAAGAAGAAAAAAACATTCTATCCCCCAAATCATATGTTTTAGAAGGAGAAATAAAAGTGTTATAAAAAAGGGAGATTTGGGAAGGCCTCTGGACTTGTGGGCTACCTTCTGTTTGAGAGGCCAACTGAAGACTCTGGAAATAAGAGGGCCAGGACAGAGCTCGGAAGGGAAGGTGTTCCATGGCCTCCTCTGAGTTTCAAAGGAGAGCCATTGAAGGGACCTGAGGGATCCTGGCTAGCCCAGCAGAGTAAAAAAAGCCAAACAGATTCAGGGACTCAAGCAGGAACAGATGTGCCTTTGGCTGTACTGACTGCTCTGGGACCTCACCCACCAGTGAGTGATTGAAGAGGGGTAAATCAGAAAAGAAAGGGGGGTATACTTTTTAACATTAACACTTCATAGTGTCAACTGAAACAACCAAATTTCTGGGGGGTGGGGAAGTACCAATGGTGTTGATATTTAGCATCTTGTAGATGACAAAATGCAGGTTAATGAAGTTCTTTACTTTCAACTCATTGTACTGGTGTTAACAGTCATTGTTTTTTAGCTAGAGCTCTAGACAAATTTTTATGTGTAGCTATCATAACACCTATATACAATGCTACATACACTTTTGTTTTAAATAAAATAGCTTTCAGACTGCATTACAAGAGAGTGAGTAAACATATAACACATCCAGTTAAAAAAAAATAATAGCTATCGCTTTGAATTTTAAATTAAAACATCTATAATGAAAATGTTTCTATTTCCCTTGCCCCTTTTACTTACTCCATGTTCTACAAATCCAAGAATTTGACTGATTTGAAGTGAATCCAAATTACTAAAGCCACTGTTAAAAGGGTCCAAGCAATCCATTAGTACATATATAAACATTTAATCCAATTCATCCGTCACTTTTTTGGCAATGATAGGAATTAACTAAATGTGGCAAATTAGTGAGGCTATTCTTAAGATTTTAATTTCAGTTCAGCTTTACAAGCTAAGTGCTGTGGAGGATCAAAGTAAAAGACACAGAGAACCTTGTGCATATGGCTGGCAGGAAGAGTTGGAATTTGAACCTGACCTGAATAGGTGGGATTCTGCCAGATGGCGAGGAGAATAAATGTATCTCAGACAGAGAGAGTAGGTAAAGCAAAGACAGACAGGCAAAAAAGTTTAGAGCATGTTTCAGGAGCAGTGAGGAACCACTGGCCCTGACGGCACCGTGAGGGCACATACTACACAGTAAGTCGATATTTTTTTAATAAATTTTTTAAAAAGCAGCAGAGACCTTATTATAAAAGGCACTGATTTTCAAGCCATGGAATTGGAGTTGTGTTTGGAAAGTAGCAGGGACTCATGTGATTCAGATTTTTTTTTTTTTTTAAGATTTTATTTATTTATTTGACAGAGAGAGAGACAGCTAGAGAGGGAACACAAGCAGGGGGAGTGGGAGAGGGAGAAGCAGGCTTCCCGCCGAGCAGGGAGCCCGATGCGGGGCTCGATCCCAGGACCCCGGAATCATGACCTGAGCCGAAGGCAGGCGCTTAACGACTGAGCCACCCAGGCGCCCCCAGATTTGTTTTTTTAAGAAGACAATTCAGACAGCTCTGGGGAGCAGGAATTATACAGCTTGTGGATTTTATATTCATTCTGGTTAAGCAATGAGGAGTTGACCATTACAAGCGTTGGCCTTAAATAACCATCCTATTATCAAATAAGGCATTTGCAATTGTGTTTTGACATAATGGCTTATGTTGGCCAGAGGTCTACAGGAACCTCTTAATACTCTCAGGATGTCTGGACAGCACCTGAGCATGGCCAGGTAGCCCCAAAGCTGCAGTCGCAGTCTTAATGGAGAACTGTAATGACCAACTGTTTTTCATAGACTTGAAATTCCTAATTGTTCATTAGAGATGTAAGCTTTTTTCTAATCTTTATAATGTGTAAAGAACAGTTGCACTGAATATATGGCAACCTGCAATTTTCTGTTTTTTGGAAGAGAAAAACTCAAACATTTGTAATCAGGATGGTCTGCTAAAGAAGAATTGCCCTTTCCATTGTGAATTCTCTCAACATGCTAAGTTGTAACTAAATGGACAACCAAATAAAAGTGCATTATTTGAATGGTCCTTCATATTTACCCAATTCTCTGGTTGTAACAATATAACCGGAAGGCATAGTAGGGATATTCGACCCCATTTTTTTTAATGAGAACACTAAAACATAAGACTTTTCCAGGCCACATGAATACTAAATTAGGGTGATAAGATTAAATACAGTGTGATTTTTGGAACTGCATTATTTATTGGTTCTTCTTTATAAAGCTTACCTTTTCCATATTCATTGATCATATGTGTTCATCCCTTGTCTATAAACTGTGGGAAATAAAAATAAAAGGATGATTTGGTTCTAGTCTTTAAGAAATATAAAGATAACATAGAATATTAAGTAATTCAAGAAAAATATGACTATAAAGAAGCAATTACTATTTTTTTCATTACAGCCAAATATTCTTGGAAGCCAGAAAAGAAACAGATTAATGTGAATTTTTATCACTGGAGGGAAACAAGTAAAGGAATTAATTGAGCACTTACTATATGCCAAGTACTCAGCTAAAAAAAAAATATATATATATAATACA